TGACACGCGCCGCCCCGCCCCCTCGGGGAGGAGGTGGGGAAGGGGTTCCTTCCTGTTTCCTCTTCCCCCGGGCGTCGATAGGGCGGCTGCTCCCCGGGCCCCCGTCGCGGGGCCCAGAAGCACGACCCCCTCCCGGGGTAGATTGTTCCCCCTTGCGGCTCCCGCCCGCGCCATCGTGGCCTCGAGGAGCCCGCTCCTCCGACGCCCCGACCGCCTGCAAGATGGTCAGGATGGAGGCGCGGTCTGGATCACTACAGAGAGGGAGGACTCCTTGGGGAATGAGGGATGCCTCCACGGAGCTGAGATTCAGCACCCGTTGGACCACTATCTTGAAGTCCTTAGGAGCCCAGTCCCATCTGACCCCCTGGTGGGTCCTCATGTAGTCTTCGGACCCGGTGTACTCCCAGGCGCCCCGGGCACGCCGCTGGAGCGGCGCAATCCGGCGACGAAGGTAGTCGCCGTACACCATGGCCCCTGTGAGCCCCTGGGATCGCAGGCCCGCCAGGCGGTCAAGGACGGCGTCATAGCCATCTCCCAGATCTACCGGCGCCCGCCAGCTGGAGGCCTGCGCCGGGGGCTGGCTCGGAAGTCGGAGGCGCGCTTCGTCGGCGAGGGGGGTGTAGAACCAGTCGCTCTTCCAGTCATCCCACTTCTTGCGGAGGACGCAGGGAATGTAGCGGTTCAGCACCGGCCCCCGCGGCTGGAAGTAGCAGCCACCAACCACCGACGGCGGCGACACCGGCTGTACGGTAAAGAACCACCGGAACAGCCGAAGGGATGGGCGCACCCCGATGAACATCTCGCACAGGTGCGCGAAGATGGCCAATGACATTACCGCGTTGGGGGTGAGGTGTGCCATCTGGAGATCGTAAAACTCCAGAACATCCATGAAGAAAGAAGAAAATGGCGGAACCAGCCCTGCCATTGCAAAAGGGAGGAAGAAGACGGACCGCCCCGGGTAGCGTGGCGCCGGGCGTCCCTCGCCCAGCGTGACTATCTCCCGGCCGGTGGCAGATTCCGGCATGAAGCGGCGCGGCAGCCCGGCCTGCCTCTCGCTCACGATGCGGGAAGGCGGCAGCACGCTACCGTCGAGCAGAGCGGAGCCCCGTGCCATGACGCCGGAAGAAGAGATGTTTGAGAGCGAGCGCGTGTGGCGAAGGAAGGGCACAGGAAACAAGGAGTTAGGGCGCAAGCGGCGAAGACAAGGGGAATAATGGCGAGAGGAAGGAAGCAAATCTCTTCCTCGGTGTCTTTATACCCTTGCCAACGCTGTGCCTGGCTCCTCGTTTCTCGCGCCCACGCTTCCACTAATCCCATTCGCCCGCTTGCGGCGCATGAGGTGGATATGAGGCTGTGGCAGTCGAGATGGAACGTATCGTGCGCGCGTTAATTACGCTCGCCGACCAAAGCGCCATCACCATATCTCCAGGCAAAATGAACCGGCTCGTCCCGATTCGCGTGCTACTCGAGTAATGTGGCAGTCTTGAAGAGACCGCTCATTATTGACAGCCGAGTAACCATTGCCGATGTGCGTGATTTGCGACCGTTGGGTTTCTGCCCAACAGTGGAGACCGGTCTCACCTGTCACCAGGCCTTAGGAAGTGGCGTCACGCCCGACCGCTTCCCTTGAGGAGGGTGATCGCCCTGGCATAACGCCGGGGGCTACTGTCGGTGACATGGGACCGGGAGTATCATGACTAGAGGTTTGGGCAGGAGCAATCACCCACGAGGCCTGACCCCCTCGGGGGGGTCGGGCCCGAGGGTGATGTGGCCGCCCCCCTCTTTGTCTCCCCGAGGGGTCGGACCGCTCCCGTTTCGGCCCCGAGGGCTGAGGCGCCCCGACCCCTTGTAGGTTTTGCGCCGCGTGTATGGGTTAGGTGAGCGCAGCGGGGCTCACCTAACCGCATTTATTGCGGTTTGGACGAGCGCGTCACGCCGCATGTAACACAGTGCAGCGCGCTCGTTTATCCAGTCTGTGACCAGTCACAGACCGATTAGATCGTGGGTTAGGTGGCGACAGGCGGTCTGACGCACGCCTCGCCCCATCCCGTCAGGATGAGAGCCTCCAGGCACTTGTCCCTAGCCGGAGCCAGCGTGTTAGCTCCCAGAGATGACACGTTGGCCCCGGCCAGATATATGTCAGGCTTCATCCTAACCATTACAAGCAAGACATTGTATGAAGAAGGGCGAACATGCAGATTGATAAACTGACGCGTGGTGGACAAGAATGACCGATTTGTGACCGGTCTGACACTGGTCATGTCGTCAGCAGACAGCCATGTTCCCACGTCGCGCCTGCTTCCGGCGGAAGTGGAGGTAGGTATGGGCCGTCCCATCAGAAGGTCATTCGGACGGCAACCATTACAAATCTCCGTCCATTTATGAAGAGAAGTGAAGTTTGAGTAAAGAGAGGATAAGTCCCCAGACAAAAGAGAGAGATTGGGCATGTGGTATCCCCTTGAGGTATAAAAGGAGGATCTGGCCCACTTAGGAAGGGGATTCGGAAGGAGAAAAGGGGGAGCGCACACAAAGGGAGAAGAGGGTTTCTAGAGTAAGAGCTCGCTGGCTCTCCAGCTCTTTGTAGCTTCTTCATACACAGATCCACCAGAACACAGGAGTAGGGTATTACGCTTCTCAGCGGCCCGAACCTGTATACATCGCCCGTGTCTTGTGCTTCTTCCATTCTTGCGAACTTTCCACAGACTAGGAGCTTAGAACCTCACCCAAAGCCCCCGGCCGAACCGGCAAAGGGGGGCCTGCGCGGTCTCCCGGTGAGGAGCCCCACGATCCGTCATACCATGTCTCATGTAACAGATTTAGCAACCATTTTCAGAGATGGACGTGACTTGGCCCAGGGATAATCCTTACATTATTATTATAAGATACTCTTTCAGTTGTATATTATAAGTCGTTTAGTTTTCTTGACTAAGTTTATAAAAAAATAGTAATAACACCAAATAGTTTTATTAAATTTAACATTAAATATATTTTGATAATATGTTTATTTAATCAAACTTAAAAATATTTTTTTAAAAATTAAACTAATAATATGATATGAGTAGAAATTGCAACCGTTTGTTGAACCCATCTGTCTGCTTAATTGAAGAACTAGAGCCGTTGACGAGCTTTAGTCCACGCAAGTTCTCTGCTCACCAAACCTCCTTCCATTTGATATTTTTTTCAGAGAAGACCGCCATCCACTTGACTCCCTATAGTCTCCGTCATATCCTGCCATAACACTATTCTTTTAATTAATATTTAATATCTTCCCCTCCTCTTAATATTATAAATGGTTTAAATCTTTATAAATATTTGATCAATTTTACAGAAAAATATAGCAAAATTTTTAATACAAAACAAATATAGTATCAAAATATATTTAATAAAAACTAATTTCAGGTCATAGTTGTTGCTATATTTTTCTTAAGTTAGTTAAACTTAAAGAAAACTAGATTTAGAAAAAATAAAAACGCAACATTAGTTAATAGATTTATATTTGGAAATACTTTGATGCCATAATATTTTAATGGTTTTAATAAATATATCATTAGAAACAAAACTAAGGTCAGACACGTGCTTTGGATATATTGCTTGTCTGCCCATGCAAGATGTTAAGTAAAACATGAATATTCCAAAGGCAAATATAGCTTCATACGTACTTTTCTGGTGGAACTTAACGGAACCCGGCCGGTTGGCCTCTGGCCAACAACGACACGATAGACAACGACGCACACATGATAGAAACTGAATTCATTAACTAATCCCCCCTTCTCCAATTTATTCATTGACAATAGTTATAAACTTAGGATGATGATCACATGGTCACTTGCTGCTGATCACGTGAAGCAGTGAGAAATGGGTAATAAAATCTGCAAATGACAAATGAAAGATTATTATTCTGTTTTAATTTATACATGTCGAATTTGAACTTGGTTATGGAGAGTTATATTGTCAAAACTTAAAACTTGGATATGGAGTATTTAAGAAGACATACAGCAATATAGGGATATTTTCTTAATTAAGGGAGAAAAACATGTTTACACGAAAGTAGGAAGATAACTACTCCTAGTTGATACATGGAGTTGACGGAATATTTTCACGTCTTCGTTTACCATGTCTATGAAGTATTGAAGTGTACTGCTCTTGTCCTTTCTGTCCGATATTCTAAAATCCGTAGTCGACATTTCTTTGTTCATTCAACGTACACTTCAACCATCTATATTTCTTTTAAAAATTTAAACCACTATATGTGTTGCTATAAATATTACATCTCAGATAAATTAATACTCCATCTACTTCTAAATATAAAAACACTTATTAGACATATGTTTGACTATTCATATTATTAAAAAAAGTTAAGTATTATTTATTTTGTTGTGATATATTTTATTATTTAAGATATTTTTAGCATGATTATATTTTTTCTGTATTTACACAGATTTTTATCAATAAGTTGAATAGTGGAACATACGTCGAAACATCATATATTTATATAAAAAAATGAAATAATGGTCAAAGCTATATCTCCAGTATCAAACAAAGAAGGGAAAAAACAAGAATAGAGATGGAGCAGTACTTCACGTCAGAATAATGTGTGACTATGATGTGTGGGCCTATAAGAATGGACTTCATCGATTAGGTACTCACGTACTAGCTGCTTCCATCAAGTACCGACCACATCGGATGTGGATTAATATATTCCTCGAGGGACATCACTTATTGTTTACGTGTTATCTAAATAGTTACTAAAAATTTTAAAAAAATTAACAATATAGATTAATATAAAATATATCACTCCGCAAACATATATAACCAAATTCAACTTCTACAAGTTGCAACAAAAATAACAAATTTATCGCACGTTCACAACTATATTTATTATTTATGTTACAACTTATATAAGTTAAATTTAAACTTATATGTTTGTGGGGTGATATATTTCATATTAATCTATGTTGTTAATTTTTTTCTAATCTTTTAATACCTATTTAGGTGGCATGAACGAAACGAGAGGATATCTCATCTAGAGATGAAATCACTTTCCCAACCAAGTCCTTTTTCTTACTGCTGTACATGTATGAAACTTGCACGTTTTTTGGGATTACACGATGGACACTTGTGAGCAACTTGGTTGTTAACCATGTCCATGTAGACATTGAATTGAAGCTGGCGCAGCTAGCTAGCAACAATGGCGGGAGGAGGGGTGATGCACGTCCTGAACGAATGGGCGATCGAGATCCTGTTGCTGGTCAGCTTCTTCCTCCAGCTCGTCCTCCTCTTCTTCGCCGGGTTCCGCCGCGTGGGCGCCTCCGCCGTGCTGAAGCTGGTGGTCTGGCCGGCGTACCAGCTCGCCGACTTCGTCGCCACGTTCACCATCGGCCACCTCTCGGTCGGCCACGAGCGGCGGCGGCTGGTGGCGTTCTGGGCGCCGTTCCTGCTGCTCCACCTCGGCGGCCCGGACAACATCACTGCCTACTCCCTCGCCGACAACCAGCTCTGGAAGCGCCACCTCGTGTTCGGCCTCGTCCCCCAGGCGCTCGGCGCCGCCAACGTCATCTACCGCTCCTTCGCCGGCACCACCACCACGCTGCTCTCGGCCGCCATGCTCATGTTCGCCATTGGCGTCCTCAAGTACGGCGAGCGGACATGGGCGCTCAAGTACGCCAACCTCAGCAGCATCCGGAGCTCCGTCAATGTCGTCAAGACGCCGCCGGAGCGTCGGGTTCAGTACTACCCTCCGTCGTCGCTGCCTCGGCGTGACGGCGAGGAGGCCGACGAGGAGGAGCTTCTTCTTGTTGCTCACTTCCACTTCCATATCTGCAAGCGCGCCATGGCGGACTCGTCGGTGGAGGTGGACTCCGGCGACTACGACCCCAAGATTTTCTCCTACGGGTGGAAGGAGATGTGCCGGGTGGTGGAGATGGAGCTCTCCCTCATGTACGACATCCTCTACACCAAGGCGGCCGTGATGCACACCTGGTTCGGCTTCGCCATCCGCGTCGTCTCGCCGCTCGCCGTCGCCGCCGCGCTCGGCCTGTTCCGCCTCGAGGACGACCTCGGCAGCTACCGGCAGATCGACGTCGACATCACCTACGCGCTGCTGGTCGCCGCCTTCGTCCTGGAGACGACGTCGCTGTGCCGGGCGGTCGGGTCGACGTGGATCGCCGCCTTGCTGCAGACCACGCGGTGGGCGTGGCTCCGCCACGAGGCCCTCTGCACCGGCCGGTGGTCCCGCCTCCGCCGTGCCGTCGCGTCGCTCCGGCGGCTCGTCCACCGGGACGGGCACAGGTACTGGTCCGGCACCATGGGGCAGTTCAACGTGCTCCACTTCTGCACCCGCGACGGCGCGGCGGAGCGGCTCGGCGCGGCGGCGGAGAAGGCCGGGCTCGGGAGCTGGTGGAACAGGCACGTCAACGCCGGCAGCATCGTCATCTCCGACGAGGTCAAGGAGCTCGTGTTCGGACACATCCAGAACATGTTGAGAGCCGTGGACTCCATGTCGACCACCGAGCTCGACGCCATCAGGACAACGAGAGGCCAGCGCGCGCTCCGGCGCCACGGACTTGACGGCGACCTCGCCGCCAGCCTCGGCGAGGAGTTCCACCAAGGCATCCTCACCTGGCACGTCGCCACGGACATCTACCTCGCCGTCAGCGGCGGCGACCGATCTTCTCCAGCCAACGCCGGCGACAGGGCGGCGGCGGCGCGGCAGCTCACGGAGGCGGTCCGCGCGCTGTCCAACTACATGATGTTCCTCGTCGCCATACGCCCCGACATGCTCCCGGGCCTCGTGCTCCGGAGGCTGTACCAGGTGACATGCGAAGACATGGCCAGGATATGGCGGGAACGCAAGGACACCCACGAATCATCGTCTTCTTCCTCCAGCTGCCGCTTCATCGACGTCCTAAGCATGGTCACCAGGCTGTTCCAGCTGCACGTCGACGACCCGACCTCCGCCTCCAGGACGCCGGAGAGGAAGAAGCTGGCGGCGATGCTACGTGACAACGCCTACAATGGCGATCAGAATGTGAGGAGCCATGGCGTCTTCGCCGGCGCTCTGCTCGCCGACGAGCTGCTGCTGAAGGAGAAGGAGCGGCGGATGTCGTCGGACGGCGGCGGCGGGTGGTTGTTGCCGGTGATCTTCGAGGTGTGGGTGGAGATGCTGCTGTACGCCGGCAACCGGTGCAGCAGGGAGTCGCATGCGAAGCAGCTCAACAGTGGGGGTGAGCTCATCACGCTGGTGTGGCTGTTGGCTGAACACGCTGGGCTGTATCGTATAAACAAACCTAAGCAGCATTTCAAGTGTGCTGAATATGCTAGTGATATGGTATAGTTTACTGAGGTAGACTTTGTCTCATTTTTATTTTTTTGGGCATACAAGTCTGCAACACCGGAACATCCCAATGGATGGATGATTTCGCGAGTATATATGCATCCCTCGAGCGGATATGCACTCGTTTCGTGCATGTCACTTAAATAGTTATAAAAAATTAGAAAAAAAATACAAGATAGACTAATATGAAATATATCACTCCACAAACATGCATAGACAATTTTAACTTCTACAAGTTGTAATAAAAATAACAAATATAACTGCAAATGTACGATAACTATTTTCAGTTTAATTTGTTCTTTTTGTTGCAACTTGAAATCGAATTTGGCTTTGCATGTTTGTGTAGTGGTATGTATCGATGTTTGAGATCACGACTACGGTATTTGCATAGTATGGAGATCGTCGGTACCAGGGTATATGTGAGATTGAAGTAAAAGAAATAGAGATAAGGATTTTTATACAGGTCCAGGCCCTTTATCTGACAAGTAATAGCCCTACTCCTGTTGGCCGAAGCCGGTGTTGCTCTTTATTCATCTGGATCATACAAGTACAATATTTGGGATAACCTATCTAGCTGTCATCGATTTGGCAGCATAGATAACCAACATGTAGTTGACGACAGGGTAGTCTTTCTCCTCGAGTACGAACTCATCAAGACTAGAGATGGCGCTAGATCCCTCTTGTCGGCCTCCGCAGAAACCATATTGGGTTTTTCTAGGCTTATCTTTGATGTTGATGTTTCATGGCGTGTGTTGGTGTCTACTCTAACTTGTGTGTCGATCTGTGTCGTGTGTCTTTCTCCCCTCTCTTCTCCTAGGAGGTCTTGTATTTATACCCATAGATATTCTCTTGTCTAAGTAGAATTAGGGAGACAAGTATGGATACAATCCGAGTAGTCCTTTTTGTTTCCATATAGAACTCTACTCGTTGTTCTTATCTGAAACTCCTTAAATATATGAGGTATGATTCCTTATAAGACTTGGTATATGGTGAGCCCCGTCAAGTTTAGTCGATTACTATTAGATATGTGGTATCCATAACCATGACAGCATGTTTCGTATTAATCTATCTTGTTAATATTTTTCAAATTTTTTTATAACTATTTAGATGACATGTAAGCAATGATGGGACATACTTTTGAGGGATGACAATCCGCATCTGGTATATATACATCGGTTACAGTGGAAGTCAAATCAGCTCCGCTGATTTTTTTTTTCCGTATATTTATCCTCATTTTTGCATGTCACTTAGATAGGTATCAAAAATTTGAAAAAAAAATTCATATGATATATCAATATAAAATATATTATCAAATATGAAAATTCAAATTCAACCTATGCAAGTAAAAAAATAAAAAATATGCATATAAACAGTACGTACTATTTGAAGTGAAATTTGTTATTTTTGTTTATACTTGTATATGTTGAATTTAAATTTACATGTTTTTGAAATGATATATTTCATATTGATCTATCATGTCAATCTTTTTTTTAAAAAAAATGATGACTTTTTGGGTGACATGCGCAAAAGGAGGGGGTGTCTCCACGAGGGATAAAAACCCACTCTCGGTTATAGTATATTTTTCATATGAGAAAAGGAGAGGAAAAAGAAATCTTGCTCGTACAAAGTATGAGGCACGATCTTTCTCTCAAAACTTCTACAAAAAAAGGCTAGCCAAACACTCTCTCAATTTTTGAAAAAAAATGGAAAAAGAGGTAAAAAAAAAGGGAGTTATTTCATTCCATATCCACTACCATATATCACACACATGCACGATCTTGATCTTCTTTGGCCTGGCTTTATGACTTAGTAATAAATGTGAATGCAAGTATGCCTCATTTGATCTCTTCCAAACTTTGCATACTTAAGCTGTAGGATAGGGCAAAAATGGCAAGGGAATCACTTGAGTGAATGAGGGAATCACTTGTGTAACTTGGTCTTTTTATTTGCAAAATCATTTGAAAACTTCTGGAATAAAAGTTAGACAAGAAATGAGTAAGTAGTGCTCTACTAACCGTTCTATCTCTCAATCGTCCAAGATAAAAGAGAAGCATGTGTCCCATAGGTATTGGGCGTATGCGTAAGCCACCGTGCTAACTCACTTAACGAGAGAGAGAGTACTCAAACTATGCACCCTGTACCTTTGAGATATACATCATTGTAGCAACTCCTGATCAACAACTGAGTTTGTCTTTGCAAGTTCTTTACTCGGGACGGGCAAAGGCTTAAGCTTGGGGGGTTTGTTGACGGTCATTATAGATGAATTTCGACCGTCAATACATCCAGGAATAAAGGAGAACTAGCAATGCTTGCATGCATATTTGTTTAAGAATAATCTATTTCCACTTGTACTTAGCAAAGTATTCATATGCAGGAGATCATATAAATGGAGGGAAAGCGATGCAAATAACCGTTCGATCAATCAGAGCTCGACGTGTGGCAGACTTACGGATGAATGGGCCCAGAAACCCATTAGAACACTCGTAAATGGGGCCAAACCACCATGCCAGTTTAAGATCCATCAAGCAAAGCATTGGAGAAAGAATGGGCCAGATGGGCTAGCCGGCTAGCCCTGGGCGGCCGAACCCAGGGTTCGGTTGAACCGCCTCTGGCGCCATTCATCTTGGCCTTCCACGTGGATGTCCTAGATTGCTTCCCAATGATGGTTGCGGGGTGTTTAGGACATTTCCAGCTGTCACAACCATCATTAGCAATTTAGCAGCCTATTTATGGGCCTCACTCTCTCCATTTCAACACACACCAAGAAGGATCCAGCAAGAAGCTCTCTCTAGTTTATTTACTTTGTTCTAGTGCTAGTGGAGTAGAATTAGAAAAGTTTCTTAGTTCTTCAAGTATTCCGGAGATTTCGGGTATGCCTCTAGTAGCTTCCCTCTATCTTGTAAGACTTTATTCAGTAATGAAATATTCTTCTTTATATAGTTTTGTTCCTTTGCTTCATTTATATAATTATTCGAGTACTGACTTTAGTTCATACATGACTCGTAATAATTATGTAGCTAGCTTACTGGAGCTATGCAATGGTATTGGTTTGGTGTTCAATTATTTGATTGCTCTGTCATATGCAGAGATGTAGAGTAGTATTTAGTAATGTAAATGCGGTGCTTAGATTATTAGATACCATTATATGGTGCTATATGCCATGGATCTGTAGAGGTAGGCCACTAATGGTGACAGCTCAGTACGCGGTATTCCTCCAAGTGCGTATATCTTAGTAAAAAAACCGGACCGGGAGTCAACCTGCTCTGGCCGCCGGTTCACCGGTTCACCGATTGAACCGTCGGGTCACTGGTCGAACCGCCGTTTTTTATTTTTAATATTATATTTGATTTGCATTATTATAAATATAGAACCATCACAAATTGGTGAAAATATGCATAAATAAACTAGTATATCTATTATTATATGGTCACAACATTAAAAAAATAAATGTAGTGTGGTAATATAATAAATTCATAATGCCATACTACCATAGACAAATTAAAAACCGGTTCGATTCTTAAAAAATGGCACTGGTTCACCGGTTCCCATAAAAACCACCTGTTCACCGTTTTTTACCAATTCGATTGCAGGGACGATCTTTTTGGTGAACTGAACCGCCAAGGTCGCTAGTTCCGGTTTTTTCCGGTTCAACCACTGGCCCGGTCCGATTTTTTTGTACTATGGCATATATAGGCTAAGGTATTTTCCTGGTGTGGGTACTCCTCCGTATCTATTACCGGTTGGATGGCCATGATGAATTATCGTAAGGAACTCAACAATCAGAGGTGGTTTCTCGATATACCAGGAGGGCATAGTTATGGGGTATTGGCTGCATAATTGTACAATAGCAAGTATAGACTAAAATGACTATATACTATAAGTACATAAATGATTCTTTTCTTATTCTTTCTCCACTTAGCTTAGATTATTATTTTAGTGAGAATATTTTGTTTAGTTCCTTGTGTGTCAATCTATCTTTATCCCTAAAATGATTAATCCATGCATTAGACTTTGATCTATACAAGTGATATAAATTACTAGCATAGTACTCTCTTATCATATATTTGTTGGTATTTCTTACGATCACAGATAGAAATCCGCAAGCGCACGGATATACCGAAGTAGCACTTCCCCTACAGAGTATTCCAAGTGTATCGAATCCAAGGGAACGTGTGTGATTATCTCTTCCTCCGGTTCATCCATGGACACAAGATAAATATGGGCAAAGGGTAGAGAGGATTTCCTAATGAGAAACCGTGTCTAAGGAAAGCTTAAGTTTAATCCTAACGCGATACTTCAGGCACTGGCAACCCGTTGTTCCCAGATGTCGCTCTACTACGTACCCGGACAGGGAGGACTTAAGTGCTCTTGAGGGCTGTCACCACCTCTACACCCACCTCTAATGTATTGTGAGATATGCAGCAACCACTGGCAATTAATTACCCAGACACCGTGTCTACGCAATTAACTACTACTCTAGCACTGGCCAAGCACTAAAGCAAACACTATATAATTAATGGACTATAGTGAAAAATGATCCCGTATGCTAATTAGGAACTAACCAAGAATAATTCTCACTAAGTAAATCTTAATTACTCAGAATGATATGTTTATTGAAGCGGAAGTAAGTACCAAACTACAAGAATAAAGAGAGGATTACCGACAACTCCGGGGATTCCTCCGACGTCGTCTCCTTCACTCTCTCCCTAGTATAAGTATACTATAGAACATGTAAAGAAGTAAGCATACTTAGAGCCTCTTGTAATTCAGCTCTACATCTTGGTGTGTGTCAAATGAGGGAGAGGAGAGGGGTATTTATAGTGTGGAGCTTGCTTGGGAGTGTGGAGATCCTCCATGGAATCCTATGAGCATCTTCACTCTCCTCATGCCAAGTGTCCATTTGGATGACGGTTGGAGCACCGAAAACGGTCATAACCACTATCAGGAGAGCGTTATCTACCGAACTGGACTTGAGCCGGGGCGAACGGCCTCTGCTAGGGTTCGGCCGAACTCAGGGGTTCGGCCGAACCCAAGACGGCTCCGTTCGCTCAAGTTTTCGTCCTGGACACTTATTTTGGGCCCCTTAATTCATTGGTATGAATGTTTGGCCCATTTAGAGATGTTTAATTGGGTTTTTG